CTGGCTCGGAATCTACCTGATAACTTCAATGAAGCCAAATTCATTACATTCAGCATGCTCATATTCTGTGCTGTCTGGATCACCTTTATCCCAGCCTATATCAGCTCTCCTGGGAAGTTCACAGTAGCTGTGGAAATATTTGCTATTTTAGCTTCTAGTTTTGGTTTGCTGTTTTGTATTTTTATGCCAAAATGTTACATTATTTTACTGAAACCTGAAGAAAATACCAAAAGAAATGTAATGGGTAAAATATCCTCAAAATCTCTCTAAAAAAATAACAGGTACATCTGTACTTAATATGTCTTGGATTGTATTGCCTTACCATAAACATTTGCTTCTTTTGTTTCACATTTTAAAAAAGCATTAAAATGTATGGATACTTCAATATTTTCTGTAAGTTTACTTCCAATTGTTTACCATGAATGCTTTTCATAATATGAACGGAAGGAGGATGTAGAATTCAACAGTAACAGATGTTTTGAATTTGGAAGGATATCTTGCTGTAATTACTTTTCAGAACTTTATAAAATATTTAATTTTTACTTAACATAATTTCATTGTACCATTAAAAACACAACGAGAAAAACTGGTCTTTTTTATGCATTTATATTGACCATGTACTGTATAGTAATTACTCGCCAATACAAGTCCTAATCTGACAGATGACAGGTTCAAGGCAAGTCACAACATGGACAAGACACCAGTCCCCTGTTGTCCAAACACACATTACTAACACAACAAGAACTCAAGGTACAATGATGTTAAAAATCAACCATAGGAAAGACTCAAACAAAGGCTGTACAGTATGTATGAAATTCATTGTAGAAGATTCTAAAAATAATGCATGTTATTATGTCATTCAACAATAACATTTTTGCCCTCATATAATTCTCTTCAATTTATATATTAAAGCTTCTGCCACAGATATTTACTTAAGGTGCTGGAATAGCTGTGTACAGTGTTAATTGGTCCATTATACATCCTGAAAACTTTTGTTTGAGCGTGTTAGGGATTATTTTTGCAGTTTTAAAATTCACACAGTTTTAAGTATTAAGAAAAACAGACTGAAAGGAATATGCCTAAAGGTAAGACAAAATCCCAGCTGTATACAGCAATGAGCACTACTTCATAGTCGGAATAATTTGATTGCCTATGAACACTGCTTACAAAATGTCTGTGAGCCTCCTTGGTTGTTCTATTTTCTAATATATTTTAGATCTAAAATGTAATTATTTTTTCATGCAAGTCTTAATAAAAGATTACAATAACCTGATATCGAGGTGACACAATGATATGTACATAATAACATAAGGTGACACAATAACATAAGCTAATTTTGGATTATTTAACACAACATCCTACAATAAATGATGCACAATCATCATATGACTAAGTTGTGAATAAGTATGTGAACTCACTAAATTCACTAACTTGTGGCCGTGTGCAGAACAGAGTTCGGCTAGATGTTTCTTGTAACTGTTTATCAGTTTCTCACATTGAGATTTATGCGTGTTGGCCCAATCTTTCCTATAGAAGTGCCTATATGCAGTGACATCTGAGGGCTTCCTTCCATGAACAGTCCACTTCACATCCTGTTTTAATATTTTAATGGGGTTAAGATCTAGACATTGACTTTGCTAATCCTAAGTGTGAAACTTTTTCAGGTTCTTGCCACACAAGTTTCGCATTATGGTTGGAATTCAACTTTTAACATGACTGTCCAAGAACATTCTTCTAAACCAAACACTGCTGTATAATAGAGGAAACCAATTGTACCCGTCAGACATGGTTGAGGGAGTATCAGGGCATCAGAACACTAGATGACTACATAACCACTATAGAACCTTTTCTACACTCAGGTTATTCTATAAACTGAATGAAAAGGAGAACTCAGAACCTTACAGACTGAAATGGCAACAGTATGAAGCTCCAGATATCTCGCCGATCATGGTTTGGTTGCCAACTATGATTTCAGCAGACAGAACTGAATGCAATGTTTGCCTCAAACCCATCTATAAATGTTAAGGTTTGATTAGCTATGGTGTTTTGGTCTGAAGATCTGAAAATGTAGGTTCTTATGCATGCTGCATTACAGCGGGCATTGCCCTGCGACTGTCGTCTGGTCAGGACGACTCTACAGAGCGGAGGAATGGCAGGTGAGCTACGATCACTAGTACAACACAATGCCATACAGTCAGGTTGCCAACAATCATGGCATGGGACCCACTAGGTGTAGCACTAGGCCTGGTGGAGCTCATGCCTTTAGACAATTTTCTCAAATGACCTCATTACTAAAGTGGTCAGTGCCACTGGTCTGAAATCTTTAAATGTCTTGGGGGATTTGTGATTTTGGAATAATTTTTGTCAGTTTTCAAATTTTGGGTACTTTCTGCTGATTACGAAATCTTGTGAAAAAATAATTAATATACAGTAGCACTGAACTGAGCATCACATGACCTCAGTACATGCCCACTGAAGTAATTGGGTCACAGACTTTATTTGAAAATGTTTTAAACACACTGTGTATCACGTTCAACCTTGGTGGAAGCAATGAGCTTCACTTTGAGTTCCCTGGTAAAAGTAAAGACTGTTTTAAACGTTTGGGCAGGGAGCTGTATTATCATGTGTTGCCTGCACATTAACAGGAAGAGGTTCATTCCATGCTGAAAGATGCAGAAAAGAAAAGAAACACAACTT